ATTCCTCCCATACCACTGTCGGAATGAGACGCTATGTTGTTGGACAATATACTATGCCTTTACATTATATTCGATATATTATATTTGGGCTGCTTAAATAAAATCGAGATTCCTACGTCTCGTCCCTTGATTTGCTTATTGATTTCAGCTTTATTTCATGAGCAGAAGGAGCATAAGTGCAAATGAATATGAATTAGATGGGAACTCTTTGGTTATTTAGTTGGTTCTTTGCTTATCTGAATGGGTAAATAGTTTTTCGCTGTGGGAAAATTGTTATTAATGGGCAGCGCCTGCTATAAAGTGACCAATTTCGGGCGCTTCTCGCCGAGTTTCTTTCTTATTTCAATTTCCGGCAGTTTTGGCGCGCAACGCGTTAAGTTGTCATTTGGTGACGGGCAAAGAGCGCCAAATAGAAATGTGGACTGAAATGGGCGAAAAACTTTTGAAATAACTTCAAATGCGCGTGCAGAAAAAATGAACGAGCGAATGGGAAGCGAAAGCGTGCGGCATAAAGAAAATTGTGGAAAGTGCTGCCGCGTCTAGGAACAGGCAAACTGTTTTTGTGCTTTTAGAAGGCAACTAAGCGCGAAAAGTTTCGCTTTTCGTTCGGCAAGGACAACAACAAGACGAAAGGACGAACGCGCAAGCAAAGATGGTGTTCTAAATAAAATAAATTCGATTCGCATTTGCCGAGCTGCGAACTTAGTGGGCCGCGGCAGCACTGTCCAGAGGCCTCTGCTCCACCAGCACATTCATCGCTCTTTTTGTGAACAGTTCGTGTGTGTGTGGCTGGGTGTGGGTGTGTGGGTGAGAGAGTGCCTTGAAGACTCACTGCCACATTAATTTCACTTCTTATAAATCTCGTAAGATGTTCCATTTTTGTTTTTGGTGCTTTTTTTCCGCTGGCAAGCGAATTTGCCTGCACATAAATTATTTGATATTAAAGCCAAGCCATAGCCGCTTTAAAGTCCTGGCCAAACTCTATATATCATCTTCTATCGGCACAATTAGGCAAGCACTGGGGAACGTTTTCAATTTGTGTCAATATTTTAATCGTTCTCGATTAATTTCGTTTGTGAGCATCATTTTTCAATATGCTAAATTTGTTTGCCCCGCAAATATTGACTGAAGCCTAATTTCGGCAATATTTTCCAATTACATTAGGATTATGTTTGAGCAGGTTGTACGCGGCGTGAGGTCTATTGGGATTACGTGGTTAATTTGAAAATATATATTGGGTATATAAGCGAGCAGCCCTGTTGCTTGCCAGAAGTTTGTAAACTCCTAAACAATTCGGGGGGGTAGAATGACGTCGTCTGGCTTATTTATATTATACCCATACTGAAGAAACTCTGATGGGAGATATCGTATATATCACACTCTCATCTCATCTCATCTCTATCCATTTAATAACCTCTAGCTAACGCAAAAAGTAAAAGGTTGCATTTGGCTCGTTGTAAGTAGAATTAAAAAGTATATTCCGCTAATGCATAAATTGGGCGATAGCCATAAAAATAATGGTAAATGGTAAATAAAATGCGCCAAAATGTAATGAAAACAAACAAAACTATAAATTCGAACTAACCCATAAAACTTTATTGGCAAAACATTTAGTGTGCACATAAACATGAAAGTTTTATTCTTTTTGTTTTTGTGGCTCTGTTGTATAGTATATAACGAGTTTATACAGTAAATACAGATATATGTATATACATACATATATGTACATATTTAATCATGGTAAAAGCCAAATTAGGCTGCTGGTATAAGCAACTACAACTTTTTCGTTGATCTACCTTTGATTCCAGGCCGAGTAAGCAAAGTTAATTTGTTTAAGTAAAATTTCATAATATTCACAATAAAAAATGCTTTCTTGAAGTTTCCCAAAATATTGTATTTAAACAGCGATCAATCGAAATTTTGGTTCATTGTGGCTTGATTTGCTAATATAATTGAGACTCGATAGTTCGAACCCCGCTAAATCAAAAATCGCGGTAAATTGAAAAAAAAAAAAAAWAAATAAATCTATGCCCTTGAAAGAAATTCTCGATAATTTGAATTTTTCTGTACATCAAAAAAAAAAAAAAAAAAAAAAAAAACTAAACCTCGTGCCGTTTCGAATTATCGGGATTATGCTTTATATATTTCTTTAACAGAATCACTGACCAAAGAACAGTCAGTGGCAGAACTAAAATTTTTACTGTATTACAATTGTACGAAAGACAATGAGAATGAAACAAAAAACAAATTTAATTTTGTTATCGACTATCTATATTCAAATTGCCATCACTATTTCATCTATAACATCCATTGGAAGAAGCTTTCTTACATACATACATTCTTTATACATACAAATATATGTACATATATTTGTATATGTATGTGCAACTACAAGGCAAATATAATCAGTGTCCACCTTATGAAAAGAATACTTAATGCATGAACAAATCTTAAAGACCTCTGTAAATGACTCTTGAAACGCATATTATTATGGTACATTTATTTCGCCTCAATTAAGTAGCAATTAGAGGGACCGAAATTCCCACAGGTACGCCTAATTTATTTGAGTAGGAATGGCCAAACGAACCTGCAGCTGCCCAGCTTAGCTTTCGGCAAGTTGTCATATTGATTTTGGCCTTGTTCTGCATGGTGTCTCTCAAATTTACATGTGTCCTGTGCGAGGACCCCAAAACAAGCAGTTGGGATGGGAGCTACCTCAACAATTAAGCTAAAACGATTCTTTGTGTGGTTTACGTTGACCGTAATTATAAGTTAAGCTGCTATTAATTATGGTGCCTAATAGAGTTCTGGAGGGGGGGCGGGTCTGCACGGTGCCAGCCCCGAAACTCACATATGCTTAACCTCAATGTCACATCCACATGCAATGAGATGAGGGAGAGGGAGTTATCGCCGACATCAGCAAAATGTATCCGTAGGCTAATCTGTCGGGAACGTTGAGCAAATCGCTTCCGTCTGCCCCACCTGCACCGCCCCCAGCGCAACCACCTTTCACCCGACCCAAATGAAATGCAAATTAATTCGCCAATAGCGAAAGTTTTGCATCAAATTTGCATGTCAGCCACACTCGACCCCACCCACGCCTCAAGCCGCCCAACTGTTGTTGCTAATTAGCAATAAATTTGGATATTTGCCGCAATTGTAAATAGCTGCAAATATGAAATATTGCTGTTGATGCCACGTACTTGATACAATATTGGGGTTAATCAGTTGGTAATCCTTTGGAACAGCCAGCTAGCTATTTGAAAAGTAATCAAGCGCGCTGGTGAGAGAGAGAGAGAGTACAGCATTTTCCCAGCTTCGCCTGCGAATAAGTGAAGGGAGCTCAAGTGAGAGACCCATAAATCAATTTGAAATGAAATGTACACTCCATGTACTTATCCCGTCTGTCTTTATTTCGAGAAAATCTGCTACGTACTCCGGCTATTGGCACACACACACACACAAACATATACACATACACGCGTACAATGTTGCTGTGCTGTTCTACATAAATTTTCCGTGAAAATCTGCATAAAATCAACGCTAACAAGCTCCATCCACGGAAGCCAGACAAACATCCTTGGCTGCGTTTCCTTCTGGCCGGGCTTCTTTTTAACGGAGGAATGGGCCGGACGGATCTCAGTTACAATTCCGTACAATGTTCCCATTCTGCAATCACTTCCCACAGCTGTTGTTGCTGTTGCCAGCAAATTGACTAAAACTAAGTTTGACTGAACAATGCGGAAAATTAGCTGAAGCGAGCTTATAGAGAGCTGGAGCCCAAGTTCTCTTGGAGTAAAACAGGTACATGTGTAGAGAGAGAAAGTTTAATAACCTGCATGAATAAACCATAATCACTAACCAGAGATTAGTGCTATAATTCATATGTATTTAACTTCCTGTTCGAACAGCATTTAAAGTATCTGCTGCCATTCGAATTTCGACAACTGCAAAGTATGCTAAAAATGCACTCGAGCAAATAATCTACTGCACTGTGGCTATAGTGGAATAGGACTTAGTAAATGCGCCCATTAATTTAGACCAAGAATGCAATAGTTTGAGAAACTTGCGAGATGCGGTCAAGCGGAACTGATACTCAATTTGGAGCTTCACTTTCACTCCGGCCATCAAATTGGTCGGAGACGCAAAAGGCGTAAGCCCAACTTGAGGGGGAGGAGGGCAGCCAAACACTAATTGCCAATCAAGCTGAGCTGTTAGGCAGGTGGGCCTGAGCCATACTGCGATTTGACCAATCCGGAAGGGGGCCCAGCAATGGGACTATGAACTGTTGACACGGAAACTAACTTAACTCTGGTTTGCAGCAAATGTAAAACAGAAAGTTTGCAGTCAAGTTTACGACTGTATGCAGCAGTCGTAAACTTGGAACAGGCAGACGAGTGCGGACAGCCCCTGTATATACCCATCTGCGATTACACATATATATACTTATATGTGTAGAGGTATATGCATATATTTATATGAAATGTAAGACGCAACTAGACTGTAGCTTCAGCTGCAACGCTCCATGGATAACAAACGACTTTATGTTTATGTAAATGACGAGAAATACAATGGCATCCGGAGTGCAAAATATGATCAACGTACGTTACGGGGCCCATTTCAGGCGTATAAACTTTAAATTGCCCGACTCAAATACAACAGCTCTGCAAATGTATCTATTTTTATATAAAGAAACATACACACATATGCACATGTATGCATGCACACACACACACACACGGCTGAAAAACTACAATACATAAAAATTCCATTATAGAAAATCCGAATGTCCCGAGTATTTTCTTTACTTCGAACTCCATTTGCATGCAGTCAGAGTTGCGAAATTGCTTATGCAAAGCACTTTACTACCACGAACCAAAAACTTTACCAAGCCAACGCCATCCCAGAAATTTTATAACCGGCTCATTAAATTAAACAATTCAATATTGTCTTTATTTTTGCTTTTTAGACTCTGTAGGGCCCATTATTATTATTATTCTCCTGTTACGCCAATACAGCTGCAAAGAGTAAGACTGCAAGAGAGGAGCGAATTGAGTCATACGAGCTGGTATCGAAGAGCTTTAGAATCTTACTATAGTTACGCCTGGGCACGTGAACGATGCATACGACATTCAATTGCGTGACCGCATGATATATGTATGCTATATATCTGAACATTTTTTCACAACATACGTCGCCACTAGCTATTCCACTTATCTTCTTTTGCCCAGAAGAGTTCGACATTTTAGATGCGCTTCTTGGGGAGAGTAGCCTGCTCGTAATATTTAAGCTGTCGATATGAAAATTAATTAAATTTAAAAACAATTAATAAATACCTGACAAATAAAAGTTGGGAAAAGTTGTCTCCTCACGTTCTCTGCTCGGATTGACAAAAGAGCAACTTTACAATCGATTCTTCGATAACAATGCCATAGGGACAAAATACAAATATCCGTAATATGGAACGAGTAGAAATGGAACATATTCAATGCTTCGAAATGCTGTAATCATCAATACACTGGATTTCCAATTGCCTGAAATGGGAAGGGGATCAGTTTTTTTTTTTTTTTTCGATTTACACAGATATTTAAATTATCGAGAACGAATTTTGTTCAAAGAGACAGAATTATTTTAAATTTATTGCCATTTTCGATTTAGCGGGGTACAAATTATCGAGACTCTACTGTGCATATATTTTTCCCTTCCCAGCTTCGAATCTAATGATAGGTTCTTGATTTGCGATAATTGTTAATTATGACTATATAAAATATACCATTTAAGCTTGGACACGCAACTGAATTGAAGCTGAATGAAGCTTGACAGGGCGGCGCGCCGCAATCATTAGTTGAGGCGGGGTTGATGGATATACAGTCCGATACAATTCCAGTTCAATTCAATCAAAGATAGGTATTTACAGATTTACATTCATAATTAAACATTAGCTCGTCAAGTTGTTCGCCCTTTAGCCGTAATTAAATTCGGAAATTCTAGTGAGGTTTCGTATGAACTGCAGTTGGCAGACGAAAATTGCATCTATGAAGCTGAAAACACGGCCAGCTAATACATGTATTTTCTAGCGTTTAGCTAATACCAGAGTAATTATTGTGATTTAAGCTAGGTACGTAAATATGAGTTTGTGGTCTTGAACGCGGACATTAGCTCGTTTAGCTTCAACATATACTTATTCCGATAACACGCACACTCGAACTGTGAATATTCAGTGCCACAGCCACGCCCCATAAATAATTGAGCCTGCAATGGCAGCAAATAAAAAGAGAATGACGTACAATCGCTTGTCGCAGTTCGAATTAAGGGCTCGCGATAGATTATCATGTCTCGATTAACATTATCGATATGTTGGCTGTGTCTGTCTCTGGTCTGGTCGGACGTGGCCTGGGCCGATCCTTTGCTAGTGGACATATCCAATGGACAGCTGCGTGGAAGGGACAGAGGCGACTACTATAGCTACGAGTCGATACCTTATGCGGAACCACCGATTGGCAGTCTTCGCCTTGAGGCACCGCAACCTTACAAACGTCAGTGGAGCGAGGTGTTCGATGCCACGAAGCCACCAGAGTTCTGTTTGCAGTCCAGTCTATTTCTTCACGGCGAAATAATTGGCAACGAGGACTGCCTTACCGTGAGTGTGTACAGGCCAAAGAATGCGAGCCGGAGCAGCTTTCCCGTCATGGCCTACATTCACGGAGGAGCCTTTATGTTCGGAGGGGTCATGGAGTATGGGCACGAGCTCATCATGACTGCTGGCAATTTCATCATGGTGAAGATCAGCTATCGATTGGGACCTTTGGGTTTCCTGAGCGCGGGAGATGCAGATTTGCCGGGGAACTTTGGCCTGAAGGATCAGCGATTGGCTCTGCAATGGATCAAGGAGAATATCGCCAGCTTTGGCGGAGAGCCGAAGAACGTTATGCTAATGGGTCACTCCGCTGGCGGTGCTTCAGTCCACTACCAACAGCTGCATGGAGGACTAGAAGGTATGGTCAAGGTGGCTGTTTCGCTCAGTGGAAGTGCATTGTGTCCTTGGGCTACTCAATCTGATGAAAGGCAGAAGGCGTTTAAGCTGGGGCATGTATTGGAATGTAACGTGAATGGGACTTCCTTGGAACTAAAGCGCTGCCTGCAGTCAAAGGACCCCAGGGACATTGTCGGCGCTGTAAAGCACTTTATGGTATTCGGCTACGTACCCGTCGCACCCTTTGGCCCAGTTGTTGAGGCTGCCGACACAGTAGAGCCTTTCCTCACCCAACAACCTGCCGAGGCAATGAAGAGTGGAGAATATTCACAAATTCCTTGGCTTTTGTCTTATACTCTCGAGGAGGGTGGCTTTAATGCGGCACTTTTCCTGGAAAAGAGTGATGAAGACGACAAGGAATTAATTGAAGTATTAAACATGCGCTGGAATGAACTAGCTCCAGATCTATTGTTTTATCGCCACACAATCAACAATACTGAAGATCTGAATCGGTATTCGCAAGAGTTGAAATACCAATATTTGGGGGATCGCAACTTCAGCTTTGATAGTTATTTGGACTTGCAGCGCATGTTTTCGGATATTTTGTTTAAGAACCCTATTCAGAGAACTCTCGAATTGACTCGTTCACAGCGAAAGAGTCCCTTTTACTGCTACGCTTACGACAATCCTCCCGATTTTGGCGTGGGACACTGGCTGTCTGGCCGCACTGATGTATTTCTAGGTAAATTTATATTCAAGAGAGTCCTTAGTTCTGTGTAAATTGATATTATTTTGTAGGCACTGTACATTGTGATGATCTTTACCTCATGCTGAACAGCGCCGTACATGAAAATCTGCGTTCGGATGAGCAAATCATATCTAAAAATTTCTTACAAATGCTTCTAGACTTCGTGGAAAGCGAAAAAGGCCTGCTCACATACGATACGTGTCAGTTTAAAGATATTGCAGGCCAAGGCAAGATGGAGCTGGTTTACATAACCCGCGAGGGTTGTGAGAATAAGCAGGTGGAGAAAATTCCATGAGTCCCTTGGAGTGAAGCTGGTTTCTATTTTGTTTACAAGATTTTTGAAAGGATTTTGAATTATATTGTATTTAAAAAAAAAAAACAAAAAGATTTTTTAAAGGGATTATGAATTAAATGGAATTTAAAGAAATAAAAGACGATGGGATAGATCTTATCTTATGATAGAAATTATTTTAATACTAGTGCAGGCTCTCGCTTGATATTCGGGTTACATAGGTTAGCTCATCACCATGACAGCTTTAGTGTGGGTGCTTAAAATCTTCTCGCATAATCGATTGGAGCTCCCTTGTTCGTTAAGCGGATTTGGGGCAGCAGGCTACATGCCAGATTTATTACGCATACGTTGGGCACTTTTTATGGCTGCGAAGTGTGAGAGAGTCTCAAAAGTGCTATTCCGAATAGTAGTATACGAAATACAAAAGAAACAATCTTCATAAAAACTCGTATAATATAAGCAATTACTTGGCTTCTAGGGTAAAGCACTTTACGATTTCATACTTGTTGGCTGTAGCTGTTGCCTCAGCTATGGTTTGACGCGGAAACTAAACCTGAAGCTGGAAGTGGAGTTGGAGTTGTAGTTGGAGTTTGGGCGAGAGCCAATGCTGTGGTTACTCAATCAATATTGGATTTTTACCACAATCAGAGGCGGACAGACATATGAAGAATTTATTGAATTTGCTTGGCGGGGGTTTGTTTGCCGGACAACAGTAGAGAGAGAGAGACGAAAGAATCGAGAAAAACGAAAGAAAACAAATAGTCTGGATGTACAAATAAATTAAATTAAAACGTATACAAACATAAATTATTTAGAGATAATGTAGTGGCCCAATCGCATGCCGAATGCCGAATACCGAATGCCAAATGCCAAATGCCAAAGATCCAGAGACTGGCCAAGTTCTCGGGAGCTACTAACAATAAGCAGACAGCCACAAGCCGCACATAAATGCAATAAAAGCAAATTCAATTGGCGGCCATAACGAAAACGAAAACGAAAACCAAAATGAGAATGAAAATGAAAATAAACGAAATGGCGGAGCACAAAGCATAGAACAGCAACAAGAAGTCAGGCGCAAACAAAGACAAATACGAGAAGCGCCTGCAAACGAATTTCGTATAAATCAAACCCCCACAAATGGGAGCTCGATCCGAAGCCGAAACTAAAACATGGCCAAAACGCGCACCATAAGAACAAAAAAGAAAAAAAAAAAGAAAAATATATATATATATATAAGAAATATGCTTTGGCCTTTATTTCTGGGCGCCTCGGTTCTATTCTGTTTACCTTCAGCCAGTTGGAGCTGCTCCAGGGAGCTGCTTTGCCCTCACCTGGGCAGCTGTTTCATCCGGCTGACCAATTCACAAATGTACAAATTTACGAAATTGGCCAACAAGTGTTGACGTCATTAAATGCCAGAAAGTCCAGTTAAGCGAGCAAGGACTCCACAATACAAAGCACAAAATGCAAAATAAATAAATTCTAACCAATCAAGCTGTAAAGCTCGTAAGTTCATTGTGAGCTTTCCCGATTGCAACGAAACTGCTCTTGAATCGCACAAATGAAACTCGAGATTCTTTTCACTTTTCAGTTTTCGCTTTATTTATTTTTATATATTTTGCATATTTTTGCTGGACTTGGCAATCAAGTAAGCATACCCATAATACACTGTAGTTGCACAAGGGATTACAAAATCTGCTTGTAAATTTAAATTCCAGATATTTGGTAAAGTAATTGAATAAAGAAATCAGAGACATTCAGTTTATAAAATTTGGGGATTGGCATCAATTATAGAATTTTATGAATGTACATATATAGATTGAAATAGAATTTTCTTTTAGTTAGCTTTTTTACAATAATTTAAGAAAAATATTTAAATGGCATCATATCTAGTGTTTTTTAACTCTCTCTCTCTCTCTCTCTCTCTCTCTCGCGCTCTCTCTTTTACTCATAGATAACATTATAATTTCTTTCTCTATATCTCCCTCTTGGCTATAGATACCATTTTAATCTTCATTATCTCATAGGAGTATAATTATTTAATGAAAATATATTAAAGGATATTAAAGCAATGTATTAAAGCAATTTCTACATTTTTGGGATCAGGCAGCCCGAACTATCCGCCTGTAGCTTCTAATTCGTATTTATTTAGTGGAAATGACATATGTATGTGTAAATACTTGACGACAACTTTGCGAAGCGCTCAGGCTGAAATCTGTCGCAATTTCTTGATTTCTAGCACAACTTTTTGCTGCTGTTGTTGTTGTTGTTATTGTTGTTGTTGTTTTGGCCTTTATTTATTTTTATTCTGTTCTGTTGCTGTGTTAGTTAGTTGACAGCCTGGGGCTGTGGTAAGCTGGTTTCCTGGTTTGCGGGTTTCCTGCTCTGCCAGCATGTCCAACCAGAGACGAAGTACTTGCCAAGTTCATAAAATATTCAGCTGCACTTTGGCACGGCAAGCAGAAGAGTGAAACTGGCGCTAAGAAGTTGCCGGCAATCATGTAACGAGTATTTGCCGAGCAGCACCTTGAGTCAAGTGGCGTCCAGCCACGTCCTGGACGGGGCTGCAGAGGCCGCAGGATGCAGGAAGCACGCCAGGCCGGAAGTGAAAATCGTTGCATTGCCAAATGGCAGATTAAAACGGTGTTAAGTTGTGTCCGCCGCAACTGGCAACTGGGAACGGCAGCCAAGTGCAGCCGTCTAGCGCACCGGGCATGAAATGCATAAGCTGCTCACGCGGAATAAACGAGGGTCTATCGAACAGTTGGGCGCTGCATCAGCTAAGCCGTTGGGAATCCCCAGATCACCACAGTAATTGCTTCCGTTAAATGAAAGCTTGGCTTTACAAACAAATGGCATTTCAAATAGATGTCATTCACATAATTCGCATGCAAATGCAAATGCCTAACGCCGACCGCTAGGAGACAGGCGTTGCATTCAAATCTCGGTGGGGGCGCAGCGAGGGGCATCGAGCAGTAACTGCCGACTGCCACACCTTCAGCAGCATCTGCCACAAGCAGGACATTGTTGTTGAAGGACATGCACTGGAAAACATGAAGCAGCAGCAGCAGCAACAACAACAACAACAACAGCAGCAACGATGGGGACAACATGAATGCACAACGTCGTCGGCATTCGGTTGTGTAAACATTTTAATTTCTAGTGCAAACAAATGCGCAGCAACCGCAGTCTTAGCAGAGCCCCATCTCGCTTCCCCTCCGCCCTGTTGGCAGCACCAAAACAACATGGTCCATGTCGACCATGGCCATCCAATCCCACTGCATTGTTCCTCTCGATTTCTATCCGAGTGCTGGTGCTGAGGGTGCTTGGCCTTCCAGGCGAGCACCAAGGCGATGATTGCAAGCAGAATGCGGACTGTGGGCCGTGTGGCTAACCGCATGTGATTTGCCAACTTCAATTCCAATTCCCAAGCACTGAAATCGAAAAAATGCTATTGGCGGTTCGAGTAATTACGCAAAGAGAAGCGCTCTGACCAATACCAGAAGCAAAGTCGTAATCCCATTGTCAACTATTTCTAATAACCACTTGGAAGTGTAAAGAAGAGAACTGGGAATTTATTCGTTTTCCAACACTCTTACTGCTATGTTAATTTCTTCTAAAATTATCGCCAAGCCTGACTCACGCTATCATCGCTAGCAGCAGGCGCAGTTTATGAAATCTAAGCTTTTTGTACACTTTAGCTGTAGTCCCCAAAATGCCGTTTAGCTGACACCCACACTACACTCACACACACACACACACACACATACACGCTCGGTTAGTAGGAATATGTTTTTGTTCAGTTTATGGCCTTTTCTGCTGCCACCTACAAACCCGCCCAGCCACACGCCTCATGAACCATTACTGCACTTGCGAAAATGTAAAAAGTATATAAAAAATAATAGTAAAAAAAAAAAAAAAAAAACAGCGAAAAGCAACTGAAAAACCGCATTTAGTTTTAACAAAAACTCACACATACCATAATGCTTATTTGTGTATGGCCACACATATACAATATAATATGCATACACACACATACACATGCACATATATGCACATACATACATATATTCATATCCATGGCAGCCGGCTTTGCTTTTTGTGCACAGAATGGCAGAGATGCATTTCAAGGATACAGTTACAAAGCGAAATGGCTCGCAGAGAGTGAGTCCCGTTGCAGTTCGCCAACAAAAAGATGAAAGTTTATTTTCCATTTTGTACACTTCGCGCAATTAATTTTACAAACATTCAAATTTACCAAGCGAAAACGAAAAACGAAATCATGAAAGCAAAACATTTGGCGTTCGCCTTCAACCGCCTGACAGTTTATTATTTTTAATGAGGCATATTACACAAGTAATCAGGCGGAAAAGCTGCACACCATTTCCATTTGCTCGTGTCGGAAACGCCTGCTGGAAGCGGTTGCCATTCAGCGTTGATTTTGACAGCAATAATAATAATAAAAGAATGCAAAAATGCAAAAGTAAATAAATAAATAAATCAGTGCATAAATGACACTCTCATTTAAATATTTATAAATAAACTCGTGCATAATGCATCTGCAATCCTCCGCCAGCTGGCAATGTAGTTCACGGCGTCGCATTCATGGATTCATGGATTCATGGCTGAAAATATGTTAAGGTTGCAGCCAGCCATGCCAGATATAGTTAGGGTGCAGAGTGAGCAGTGTTGCCATATTTTTATTTACGGCATGATAAGCTAGATCTAGCTGGAATCTATCCTTTCCGAATGAATAAAAGAATATGATTGTCCATTCGTACATTTCCTTATTAATATTATTTTTATTTATTTATTTTTTTTGCTT